ATATATATATATATATATATATATATATATATATATATATATATATATATTCCCCAGTTCAAATAATTATCCATCTTCTTCTTTTCTACTGGCAACCCAACAGAGTCGATGGATTGGTGGGTTTAAGTTCCTAAGGGAATACTAAGCGAAGTATAAGAGATACGAGGAGGGGATAGAAGAGGGTGCGAGGGAAGGGAAGGGAAGGGAAGGGAGAGAGATAGAGAGAGAGAGAGATGGCGTTTCAGAGGCGGCGACGACAGGAGCGGCGGGTGGTCCCAGCAGTGCCGGCCGCGGCAGCCATCTCCGGTGGCGCGCTCCTCATCATCGCCGTGCTCGCCTTCCACTCCCTCCTCGCGCCCTCGCCCCTCTTAAACGGCTCTGCCCCCGACATGGCTGGGCCCGCCCGCCACCGCCGCGCAAAGCCTTCCTCCATCTTGGTACGGTCCAAGAAAGCACTCGTTTTGACGGGTTTCTCGTCGTCGTTCCTGTCCTTTGACATGATTCGTTGGTTTGTAGCTCAAGAAACCGGTGGACCTACAGAGGAATGCCGCCGGCGCCGTCGATGCTTTTCGTGTGCCGGTGCGTTGCTCTTGTTCTTCGTTTCGTCTTTTGACCCACCGTGCTTTTAGGAAAAGTGAATGGGAACGTACGGATTGAGGACTAGATGCTTGGTTTTCGTTAAAGATGGATTCTATTTTGCTTTTGATCACATCGAATCGTCTGATATGGGTTGGATTGTTAGAGTGGAAGAGGGAGCCCGGTGACCGACCTTTGGGGTTCGAAGCTGTCTAAAGATTACCATGGATGTAGCAATGCTAGCAGCGGGTTTGCGAGTAGGTATTGTTCTTTTGTTTGTTTTGTTCTTGATATGATATTTTAGTGATTTAATTCGGTTGGGGAATTTGATGGAAGCTTTTTCATGATGTTCTTCGAAGGATTAATCCCGAGACTTCGATCTTGTCTGGGTTTGGTGCAGTTCTAAGGTTTAATTCGATTTTAGTGATCTGATAAGGAATATTTATCTCATTTTACAGCTGCGGAAGCCAATACTCTTCCCGATAGGTATTTGATTATTGCTACTAGTGGTGGGCTTAATCAACAAAGAACAGGGGTGAGTTAAATGTTCCTATCTTTTTATTTTAGGTAAACAAGATCGTCATGTTCATTGATTGGTTCATCTTTTCTAGGACAGTTGTCTCAAAAGGGTTGTGAGTTCTCTGTGATTTCAAACAATTTTTGCTCCATTGTGACATTTGTTATGTCAACGGCCTCCCAATCGGTGTTTGGATGATTAATATGATGGAAGATTGTGAAGTTCATGACAAATAATTTCTTGGTTCATGCCATGGAAGATGCCACTGAATACTGCTCATCTTGCAAACACTGGTCTTTCTCTTGGCATGGGCATCCTATGACCATTTTTGGAACAATAACTTGATATCCAGGCTTAAGGTTTCCACGTAGC